GTCTACTTCATAGAGGTAGGGCAGGACACGGGTAAGGATGCGGATGCAGTTCAGGGCATCGCGCTCGGGTGCGAATTCGGGATCGGGAAAGGAAGGGTGATGTCGCAATATAAAGAGACGAGATGTTACGGCAAGTATGAGGGTTTCTAGGTTCTCAATCGCTCTATCGCGAGTCCGACGAATATCTGCAGGCGCAAAGAGACTAAAGATGTCCTCGGAGGATTCCGGTAGCTCCCAGAACTGCGAAGGGTTAGAGGACAGAGAAACTAAAGTAGAGGTAGTAAGAGTAATAAAAGTAGTAAAAATAGAAATATAGGGTTACTACTAACAGAGGTCCAATAAGGATCATCGGCAGGTATATGTCGCTCTTCTGATAGTCTGAAGATGCCCTTCTTGAAGACTAGCTTGGAATCGCTGGCGCCCATTGCGATGAAGTCATACCATGTCTACATCGAGCGACGAGATTGAGAATTGGAGAATATGATTTTTGTAGCCCAACTCTACTTCTTGGAATGGGGGGGGGGAAGCCGAGGTTGTGAGGGATCTGCTATTCGCGGTATGTATTACAAGTTTAGTGACGCTGGTCTAAAGTCTAGAATCTAGAATCTAGAATCTCTTCATGGATTAAAGTTCCAAGGTTGTGGCTTGCGATTTGCTGGGTTGCATTATGTTAACTTCAAACGCGCTACGTACCTAATCTGCCGGAATCTCTCATATTAATTTAGGTACGGGGTAGCAAGGTATGTACCTTAGGTACCTAAGTACCTAACCTATCCACGTTAGGTACTCCCAAATGAAACCTGATTGAGTTGCCGATTCCAACTTCCAACTTTCAACCAGTGAACTAATCTGATGACTTCAAACCCCTTATCTTAGGTACCTAGGTACATTAAGTAGTCTGGACTCCAGACGCCCATTATCTGATCTACAGTTACCTTACCTAAGGTAGCTCTTGACTTGAACATACCTATACAGTGAATGGAATAACGTGAGTTGAGAAGCTTGATTTATAGTTTTATTCTGGTTATCTTTCTTTGACATGGGTTCTCTAATCCATACCTATGTACCCACATATCCAATAAATATCAGTTATCAGAATGTATGGCCAAAAAGTCCCATCAATCGTTTTTATCAATAAGGTATCATCAACAATAAAAACAAATACAACATAATAAAAAGGTATATACGGGCCATCCGGCTACCAATTCACTCTTTCCACCCTTCTAAATAATTACCGTAACAAACTCAACGTCAACCTATATTCCAGAATTGTCATTGCCTTTAATTAGCTGGCTGTTCTACAGCCGTATCATCACTGGCCTCTCTTCGTGGGTGTCCTCGTTCATCGGCTGGCGGTGCGAGATGCGCCGGATTTGGCACCTGGGGAGTAGGGGAAGGAGTCTTTCCGGTCTTGTTCTCGTTGCTTCCTACTGCTGTCTCATCACTGACTTCTCTGTGTGGATGGCTGCGCTCCCCGTCCCCTGGCGGTGCCAGAAGTGCTGGCGCGTGTTGCGCTGGCGGAGACACCGGCTGCTCACCAGTAGTATCTTGGCGAACTGCCACCTGTTCTAGAGGAGCAGCTGCAGAGGCAGAGGCAGGGGTTGGAGCTGACGGCGCCACAGGCCGTAACCGGGAATCCGACCGCAGAATCGAAGCTGCTACCCCTCTTACACCCGTGGCGATGATCTCGGGTCGATCCCAAGCCAGAAGCCCTGGCCTTCCTGATTCACGGTTGATGTGGATCACATTATATTTTGCATTGGCCCAGCCAGGACACATATAGTAGTCCTTTGCCTCGTCTTGCATCAACTCCGTAGCCTCACCCTCGGCACCCCCGTTCGTACTAGACTCGTCGCCTAGGAATACTGTGACTCCGATCTTCGGTCGTGAATTAACTTTCTTTTCCGCTTCCGGGTACCGAGAACAATGCGCCCAGAATCTCATGGCTGACTCCGGACCAGGGAGCCAAGAGAGCTGGGTGAGATCAATCACCTCTGTAGGGATGAATTCCTTCTTAGGATCAAGCAAGCGAAGTATTTTCAATACGAAGACTAATAACCCCGTTGGTGAATCGCAGAGCGCATATGCTAGGGTATTTGGCTCTCGAAATCCTAACTGATTCAATCCAAATTGAGGGGGAGCAGGCCCTCTCTTTGGCGAACGAGCAAAGCCATTTCGTTTAAGAGCAGAGAAATCCTCTTTGCGATAACCAAGAATTGGAGCATGGAACAAACTTGCAACGGACCATTTTGCCCATTCGACCGGTGCTCCCCGTAGCTTCGGCCTCGCTAAAGGTGGTGATATTAAGTGAGCACCCAGACAAGAATCGGGGAAATAAGTTGCTAAATGATTGGCAAGCTTAAAGTCGATTTCCGCCGGCGAAGCAACACCAGAACTCGCATTTGTTATCAAGTAGTGAGGATACGATAGCCGGCTCATCAACGAGTTAAAGATTTCTGCTGTAGATGAGATTACGGGGGAATTATTCGGAAGCGCGTCGCTAAACCCCAAACCCGGTAGAGCCGGTATAACCAAGTGGAAGGGCTGATTATTCTCAGCATCTTCCGGTTCTGTGAATTGTTTGACGATGTGTCCAAAAGAAAGATTTGAAAAGGGGAAAGGTGGTATCAAAAGAAGGGGTATCGCATTTGAATGAGATGAACGAGCATGAATGAAGTGAATTCTAACGAGTGCTTCGGACGAAGGAATTGAAAACCCAGTACGAAATTGAGGTATCTCGGTATTCAACCGGTCTTCTTGCGCTCTCCATGAATACTGTTCCAACCTGTCTGATTATTAGTTCCGATGCTAATATAAGATACAGATATTAGGGGATACACAAGGCCTGTATAAGTGCATTCTTTCAGGACGGGACAAAAGGGTTGACTGAAGACTGACCAGAAATCAATGAGTGGTTCTACTTGGGACTTTGGCTCCCACCAGTCTTTCGATTTCGGTTCCGAGAGCTCATGAGGCAGTCGGGTCACTTCGAGCTTCTGTTTTGTGAGTTCCAGATATTTCGACGATACCTATGAGAAGAGAATATCAGCCACACTTTCCGATTTGGATGAGGTTCGATAAGGTTGAAAGTGGCTCACGTGGATTTTGTAGGGTTTAATTTCATCAGCACCGCCAGCACCGCCAGCACCGCCAGCGGGGACAGCCTCATCAACTTCAGCAGCAGCCATTTTTCAAGTATAAATTTCCATCCAATATATACGGATGTCACGTCTAAAGGCAACACAACATCGACCAAGGTAACGAAGGAACGAAAAAGACGAGTAACGAAAGACGCATGAATAAGTCACCGACGGGAAAACAAAATTAGTATGCACTTCATATTCTCTTCACGCCGCCCCATCGCGTCCGAGAGATCTTGTTTAATTATACTTCGTTTTAAGGGATCTAAGTGGCTTGACTCTATGTGGCTAAAACTTGTCGTAGTACACCCGAAAACAGGGCAGAGGCAACAGGGATAATACTAGCTACGGGCCAATTGAGATTGAAGTCGACCCCGAATTAAGACTTACAGGGATGCCGGAAAGTCTCGACTTCTTAAGAGGTGAAGTGGCGGTGCATACGTATACCCCTGACGAAATAGAAGTGATTGTCCTATTTCGGTTGCATTAATGAACACCCTTTTCGTCATGTTTTCTATACTAACTTGATTGCTATTACTATCAGATTAAACAACACGTGAGGTGCAATATACACAATACATAATTAGGAGAGTTGAACTCGCCGTGGTGGATGGTAAACTTGTCCCCTTGTTATCGCGCAGTACCCTTCACCACGCATAGCACTAATATCTGAGGCATCCCCATAGTTAATTTCGTAGGGCCTATTAAGGCTCAGTAGAGCTCCAGATGGCGCGAACAGCAGTGCGACGGCTGAACGCGACAGCACCCAACCGGCCGAGTCAAAACTGGAACGAACCTCCGATGGAGACCTCCCAGGGTGTACAATATATCGAGGCTTCTAAGTTCCAAGTTCGCTTCACTCGGATAGTAGTGCAAAAGCTGATCCCTTTTGAATTGAGCGGTGAATTAGTCTCCTCCGAGACATTGATATAATACAAGGTACTCTATACGTGGCAGAAACTCTCCCGGCTTACTGCATGAACTGCACAGTCGAACGAGAAAGAGAAAAGTAAAGTTGGGCTCAAGCCTTGCTTTCTGTCTCGTTATCCTCGGTACCCGAATACCAACGCCAAAACCACCTTATATAGAAAATAGTTTCCATAGTACCATATATGCTTATGATAATAATGACAGCGATCTTGGTCCTTCGAGTCATGCCCAATCCTTCAAAACTGAAGCCCATAGGCGGAATTTTGTCAGGCTGCTTGGAAGGGTCGTTTGTAGGTCGCTTTGCTGAAAGGCCAGAACTCGAAGTCGAGAGCTTGGAAGTGGTAGCTCGAGTTAATTGGCTCAAAAGGTGCGAGCTGAATGTGGGTCTGTAAGGACACGCGATGCGACTTTTGACAGCACCCGCGCTACTGCGGACAATCGTAGCAAAGCGACTAGTAAGCATTTTGAGATATAATTGTGGTCGCAAAAAGGCGAAGATTGGATGAGCAGTTTGAGTCTGATGAATATGAACTGCAATTCTGAAGGAAAGAAGGAAATGAGTGAATGAATGAATACTTGTACTTGAGTCTTAAGAAGCCCTAGACAACTTATTAACATATACCTGAAATGAAGCCCACTAAACATCTTCAATACGGCGTATATGCGGTTACATGCTCGTATGAGTCAGTATACGAATTCGCTCAAACGCATACTCTTACAATTCCAAGCCGAGTATAACATTATTACAATCTACCTAAGCATTAGCTGTAGTGTTAATCGTATGTGTTCATTGTATATTGTAAGGTTCTTCCTCTCAACCAAACCTTGATTATGAAAGAGGAGTGTGTAAGACAAGGGGAGGGATTTGAACTACGGAAAAACCGTGGAGCATGATACTTAAAGCCAAAAGACAAAACGAACCGTCACAAGGCACTAATGGGGTAGTGGTAACCTCGGAGTTTCCCATCTTCTGAAGATACTTACTCTGGCCCCGTGTTCGATTCACGGTTAGTGCAATCTAACGATTGACACCCATTAGAGACCAACTCTAACTTTTTGCCCCCTTTTTTTCGTTTCTTCTATTCATATTCTCATCTCATAATCTTAGAATTATTTTTTATAGTTCTTAAGGTAAGTGTAAATGAGATGAGTTTGTTCTATTTTTGCATAAGCAGCAATAGAGATTGCATCTTGTATTTCTTGACTTATACTTGCTCATGAGCTAGCTGGCTTACTTAACCATGAGATGATACTATGTAGGAGAACAGCAAACTTCCATGGTCATATTGTACCTTAGGTACCTAAAGTGACACCGGCCACTAGCCCACTAGATCTGTCCGCGGGGCAGAACCAAGAGCTTGGGCCACAATCGGGTGTGCTGAACCTCTCCCACCTAAGGGCTAGTCTTTTAGCACTCAAAGTTCCCATTGAGGTACCTAACTTAAACGTCACGATGTATTATTCCGCCAGCTTCTCTTTCCATTGAACCCCCCCTCCGCTTCCTTTCTCTCTCCCTCTCTACCCTCCATATATTACTTATTTTAGGTACCTACCTACTTACGTCTTTATCCACTTCTCCCCCGCGATACAGACACACAGACACACACACAGATACAGTACACACACACAATAATAACCCCCTCCTCAGAAACCATGAGCGCCAAGGGCGACAAGATCGAGAAGATCATCGCGCGCCTGCAGCAGCGGATCGGCGAGGGGCAGTACTACGAGGCCCAGCAGCAGACGCGGGTGGTGGCGGCGCGGTACACGAAAGCCCGGAGCTGGGACGACGCCATCAACATCCTGTACAGCGTCGCGCAGTCGCTGCTCAAGGCCGGCCAGGGCGGCAGCGGCGGCGACCTCTGCGTCCTGCTCGTCGACACCTACAAGCAGGCCGAGCTCAGGCCCGACGCCGTCAACAAGGGCAGGCTGCTTACCTGTCTGCGCTTGTTCGATAGCCAGGAACCTACGCGCAAGAAGTACATTGGGGAAATCATAACGTACGTTACGTTACGGCTTGTTATTTTTATTTTTTATTTTGTTTTTTATTTTGTTTTATTCCATTTCGTTTATTTTACTTAAACCCTGCGTCGAATTTGTGTGTGTGCTCTACTTTTTACTTTTACTAACGAGCGGTTGTCTCTGTCTTTACAGGTGGTCCTCCAAATTCGGCGAGTACCCCGCGGGCGACCCCGAGCTCCACCACGTTGCGGGCACCCTGTACGCCGAGGAGCACGAGCCGTACGATGCGGAACGACACCTGATCCTCGGGACGAAGGACTCGGCCGAAGTCCTGGCCCGCCTAGAATACGAGTGGTTTAAGGAGGATGACGCGCACACGGCGGCCCTGTACGCGGCGCGGGGAGTCCTGCCGTACCTGCTCACGGGCAACGTGCGGTCGGCGAACACGTGCTACCGGATATTCACCAGCGCGCTGAGCCGGGACAACCAGGGCCAGCTCAACGTGCAGGACATCAGCAGCAGCAGCGCCGACGTCCGGATATACCCCAGCATACCCCTCCTCAACTTCCTCGGCCTCCTGCTGCTCGCCATCCAGCGGGCGAACCCGGACCTGTACAAGCAGCTGCACAACAAGTACTCCACGCTCCTCGCCGAGGTCGACTCCTGGCACGAGTCCCTCGAGATCATCGCCGAGATGTACTTCGGGATCCAGAAGCCGCGGCAAAGCAACCCGCTGATGGACATGATGAGCGGGTTCTTCGGTGGTGGTGGTGGTGGGGGTGGCGCTGCTGCGACAGGCGGGGGTGCGAGGAGACCAGCCGTCAAGGCTCCTGCGTCGATGCCGGCTGCCGAGGGATTAGATTAAGATTTCAACCTCCCTAAGGTAGACTAGAATGGGTCGTTTTGGTGGGAATCCGTATAGCGGTCGGTCTAATTGCCTAGGTATCGTAGCTATTTTCCAACGACGGAAAAAGAGAATAACTATCATTGCGGCCGCTGCTGCTCTTCCGGCTCGTACATCCAGTTGTCTTCGGCTAGTGCTGCTACTTTGGCTCTCATGCTGGCTCGGAGCGTCTCTAGGACTTCTATTTATTTTACCCCTTGCGTGTTAGCGTACCTACTAACTAAAACTTTGGTGTTGCTTGCTTTTTTTTTTCTTGGGGGTTTATTCGCATAGTCTTACCTTCGGGTTGTGCTGGTATGCGATTATGGTTTATCTGGTAGTGTTTGACTGCTTCTGCCAATCGTTGTCTTTCGCCTGTAGATGTGATATGATATATTAGCAGTCGCATCCACCATGTTACAACTCTCAAGCCAATTTCATCCGCAGGACACGGATACGGTATAACTACATACGCTCGTTCTCCTGCGCATCATCCAATGCGCCAGCGCCAGTACCACCAGCTTCTTCGGGATCGTCCAGCGGCGGGGTAGGCGGGTCACCGACGTCGAACTCGCCGTTCTTGTCGCGGACGACGATATCGGAGGTGTCGGACAGGACCTCGACGTCGCCGAGGCGCAGGGTCTCGGCCGAGTTGTTAGAGGAGGACTGGGAGGAGGAGGTCGTCATCATCGTCGTCGTCGTGGGCGTCGGGCGCCGCGTCAGCTGGCTCTGGAATAAGTTGCGCCGGATGCCTGCCGTGTTCGCGCGCGCGGTCCTGTTGGTGCCCGGGCGGGCGTGAGGGGGTGGGCGGTCGGCCATGTTTCTTTTCGATTGGGGGCGGGGTGTATGTTTCTTGTTTCTATTTTATTATGTTTTATCGTAATCGGAGCAGTAGAAAAAAAAAGCACTATTGATGCTGATAGCAAGCAAGCGAAGCGTTGTATTATTGCTGAAGAAATAATTGTTTTAGTTAGATGCTATCTTATCATACACAATGTATTCCGTATGTTGACATTCAATAGAAATAAATCAGAGCAGGGACCAGGTCTTGGTGCTAGTTGCCCCCTGTCTTACACTAGCTTAGGCGCTGTGGGGTAACCCTGTTATACACTAAGTGGCATGGGCTTTTGCTGCCGTCTGTTACTTGTCTTAAATCTTAAAGCTCCGACGAATAGGGCAAGCACCTGCAGCTCCTACCTGATGTAGCTACCCTTATATATACTTATAGGGAGGTATGATCAAAACCTTAACCCTCCGTTCCTTTAAACAGGCACGTAGCTATTATCAACCTTCAGCTTTAACAAACTCTATTCTCGAGAACTGGCGTGAAGCTGCAGTGAGCCTTGCCATGACGAGCGCTTTCAATATTCATCCTATTGGCCGGTTCAACGGCGACAGCGAAGCTGTAAAAAGACCCAAGGTGGGTTCTCTTATACAATCCATCATAGCTCTATTATCAGCTTCTTTGTATCCCGCAGCCACAAGTTTACATGGCATGCATGGCATAAGGAAGGCATCCTCAATAACCATTTTCCTCGTTATAGGAAATAGCATGCTTTTCTTACGATGACAAACGCGAGTTTCATCTAGATGATCGGTCGATGCAGTGGTACTATCCTCCCACGCTCGGGGCCGATCTATCTAAAGGGTTCGATCGATTTGATAAGCATGATGAGACCAAGGACGAACATATTGATAGCCTGCTTAAGACGATCGTGGCTCACGAAGAAGAGGAAGGAAAGAAGATCGATGCACACGTTGTTACTTGGCGTGGTATGATGACCAAGGTATTCGTTGATCCTAGCTCACTATTAGAACTTGTCGAATTAACTTTTACAGATCATGTCGGCACCATTCGATGATCGGGATGGGTATGTAGGCTTATAGGTGATATCTGTTATCCTCAAATTCTAATGAAGCGTCTCTCTAGCTTTGAGATGAACGCTACACTCTACCAAGTGCGCAATCCTAATCCTCTCCCATTATGCGAACTGAGCTGATTATATACTGAAGGATTGCATGTACGCTTAAATAATAATTATCACTAGCGGTGTTTCCGCTAATTTGATAATAATAGCTTCATCGAAGAGAATTTCGCTTATGGAAAAGCCAAGCAACAAGAACAAAAACGGCAACAACAATCACGTCGAGGACAGATGTTCTCCCCGGATGTCATGACGTATTGGGGTAAATGAAAAGAACACATTTCCAATATGACATTAGCTGATCCGGCTCTAGGTTACAAGTTTGAGGCCTTGTCTTGTCTTCCTCGTCCTTGGGGAGAAGTTAGCAGAGAGACCATCGAGAACAGAGATGAGCAGGTCGTCAATAATAAGGCTCAATACTGCTCTGTGGTGCGTACAGGAATTGGGAAATCAGTCCTGTGCTTGGGAGGCGAGGTTGACGCCAGTAAGTCTTCACTCTGATATAGAGTTGGAATATCTTATACTCACATCGAAAATTAAGTCTGGGACTCCAAGCCTGAAGAAAAGGGTGCACCAATTAACTGGATCGAACTGAAAACCAGCGTCGAAATCCGCGATGATAGAGGCATGCAGAATTTCGAGCGGAAACTTATGAAGTTCTGGATCCAGTCTTTTCTCCTGGGTGTGCCAAAGATCATCGTAGGGTTCCGCTCGCAGAACGGCATTCTTACGAAACTCGAAGAGATTCAGACCGCCAAGATACCTGAGACGGCTGCGAAGCGAGGTGTTAGGAGTTGGAACGCAAATGCGTGCATCAACTTTGCCAACGCCTTCCTGGAATGTAAGGTCGACTAAAACTCATTTGACCATCACATATACTAATGCTATTGTAGGGCTAAGAAGCACCATCAATGATGAAGGTGTTTGGAGGATAAGAAGACAACCACATTCGGGGGTCATTGAGGTGTTCAAGGTTGAGGAAGTTGGCCACGGAAGGATTCTCACAGATGACTTCATCAACTGGCGCATAAAGCTAAGCCTTAGTAACAACGAGGGTGGCAGTAGTTCCTGAAGCGGTTTCGTCTAGGTAATAAGTTCTACTCAAGCTAGATAGGGGTAGAATATGGATCTATGCCATCTTTAACGCCGGCCCCTTTATAGATACCCCCAGCCATGATTTTATACAATTTTTAACCCAATCTATCATATATATATCCCGTCCCATGTAAATCTATGCAATTAAATC